TTGGTGGTTCAGGGATGTGTTGGCAGTGTCCGGGAGTGTGTTGATGGACCAGGGATACGTTGGTAGTGTCCGGGAGTGTGTTGGTTTATTAGTGATGTGTTGGCAGTGTCCGGTAGTGTGTTGGTGGATCAGGGATGTGTTGGTAGTGTCCGGGAGTGTGTTGGTGGATTAGTGATGTGTTGGCAGTGGCCGGGAGTGTGTTAAGGGATGTGTTTGTAGTGACCGGGAGTGTTGGTGGATTAGTGATGTGTTGGCAGTGGCCGGGAGTGTGTTCAGGGATGTGTTGGCAGTGGCCGGGAGTGTGTTAAGGGATGTGTTGGTAGTGACCGGGAGTGTTGGTGGATTAGTGATGTGTTGGCAGTGGCCGGGAGTGTGTTCAGGGATGTGTTGGTAGTGTCCGGGAGTGTTGGTGGATCAGGGATGTGTTGGCAGTGGCCGGGAGTGTGTTCAGGGATGTGTTGGCAGTGGCCGGGAGTGTGTTCAGGGATGTGTTGGTAGTGTCCGGGAGTGTTGGTGGATCAGGGATGTGTTGGTAGTGTCCGGGAGTGTTGGTGGATCAGGGATGTGTTGGTAGTGTCCGGGAGTGTTGGTGGATCAGGGATGTGTTGGTAGTGTCCGAGAGTGTTGGTGGATCAGGGATGTGTTGGCAGTGGCCGGGAGTGTGTTCAGGGATGTGTTGGCAGTGGCCGGGAGTGTGTTCAGGGATGTGTTGGTAGTGTCCGGGAGTGTTGGTGGATCAGGGATGTGTTGGCAGTGGCCGGGAGTGTGTTCAGGGATGTGTTGGTAGTGTCCGGGAGTGTGTTGGTGGATCAGGGATGTGTTGGCAGTGGCCGGGAGTGTGTTCAGGGATGTGTTGGTAGTGTCCGGGAGTGTGTTGGTGGATCAGGGATGTGTTGGCAGTGGCCGGGAGTGTGTTCAGGGATGTGTTGGCAGTGTCCGGGAGTGTGTTTGGTGGATCAGGGATGTGTTGGCAGTGTCCGGGAGTGTGTTGGTGGATCAGGGATGTGTTGGCAGTGTCCGGGAGTGTGTTGGTGGATCAGGGATGTGTTGGTAGTGTCCGGGAGTGTGTTGGTGGATCAGGGATGTGTTGGTGGTAGTTGGAACTTAGGGTGACATTTAGGTACAGAAAGGAGTTGTGGAACTTGTGTCTTGAGTCACTAGTTATAGGTACTGCCTGCCAGAAGGTGGTTGTTGTTGTTAAAGATTCACTGCCTGGAACAAAGTTGCAAGTAGCACGGGCTATGGTGAGCCCGTAGATATGGCAGAAGGAAGTGTAGGGCGCTTACCAATGGGTAAGTGAGGTAAGCTCATCCCCATACCTACCCAGCCCCTTGGGCGGAATGGTAGAGCGACGGTCTCGCGTCATGCAGGTCGGCGTTCAATCCCCGACCGTCCAAGTGGTCGGCCACCATTCCTTTCCCCCCGTCACATCCTAATTTCTTATCCTTATCCCTTCCGTGATCTTAAAGATGTGGAGGAGACATCTCCCGTCACGTAGGGTGCAGTCGCACCTCCACATTTCTCCAGTAGCAGCTAATGATACTGGTAATGGCTCAAAAGGGCCACCACTTACGGGCTATTCATGCCCGTGCCACCTTTTGAGTGGCTTAATCTTCATCAATCATCCATCCTCTTCTTTCAGTGCATTTCCTTACACTTCTTAGGTTTGTTTCCAGCTCCCACAAATAATAGTCTTATTCCAAGGTCAACACAGTGACTTAAGATACAAATAGGATCCACTATAGATACATAGATACAATAGATACAAATGGAGCCGGTCGGCCGAACGGACAGCACGCTGGACTTGTGATCCTGTGGTCCTGGGTTCGATCCCGGGCGCCGGCGAGAAACATTGGGCAGAGTTTCTTTCACCCTATGCCCCTGTTACCTAGCAGTAAAATAGGTACCTGGGTGTTAGTCAGCTGTCACGGGCTGCTTCCTGGGGGTGGAGGCCTGGTCGAGGACCGGGCCGCGGGGACACTAAAAAGCCCCGAAATCATCTCAAGATAACCTCAAGATCTTGTTCAAGGAGGTTTATGATGATACAATGTAAGGTGCGCGGGAATTTGAGACGTTCTTGCCGACTATCATTGTAAATGTTTACTCATTATTATATAGTTACGTCATTAATAATGTGCTCCACACCTTTACTGTTAATACAACAATGTATTTATCTTGTGACCGTAATGATTTGCCTTTAGTTTTAAAGCAATTGTTTAGAGTGATATTAGACATTCCAAATAAAAAAATGGAATCAAATGATGAAGCCTCTAATGATCAAGTCTTTAATATTCGTATTGAATCGCCTCTTGTTCATTCTTTTTCAAGACTGAATCATTTTTTATACTCGGACGCTGTCTAATTACGCAGCTTCTGTTTCCAAGTACGGCGATCAAAATTGACAGCAGAAGTGCGGTCAAGGTCGTGCTTGTAAGTTACACGGACCGCGACTTCTCGGGTCAGAACTTTAAACGATCTGCCAATAAAAGCCAACAATATTGTTGACCAGACCACACACTTGAAGGTGAAGGGACGACGACGTTTCGGTCCGTCCTGGACCATTCTCAAGTCACAATCGACTTGAGAATGGTCCAGGACGGACCGAAACGTCGTCGTCCCTTCACCTTCTAGTGTGTGGTCTGGTCAGCATACTTTAGCCACGTTATTGTGACTCCTCGCCTCCAACAATATTGTGTTGACAGTGTTTACAGCCTAAGTGCACTGCGTACCTGGGTTCAGTTCCCGAGCCACATCCAGGTATCCTCCTGGGGCCAGATTCACGAAAACACTTATGCAAGCACTTACGAACCTGTAGATCTTTTCTCAATCTTTGGCGGCTTTGTTTACAATTATTAAACAGTTAATGAGCTCTGAAACACCAAGAGACCACATTCAACTATTGTTATAACAATAACAACAGTTGAATGGGAAGTTTTCATGTTTGTAAACTGTTTAATAAATGTAACCAAAGCCGTCAAAGATTGAGGATAGATGTACACGCTCGTAAGTGCTTGCGTAAGTGCTTTCGTGAATCTGGCACTTGCTCTTCTTCTACTCGCTGTCATTCGTCAAGTGCTTGCCACTTATGTTTGTTTTATGTACGAATTATTTTTTATTTGATAGCAATAAAATTCCTGTGGCGTTCGTTAGACCACTTTACTGAGGTGCTTAAGTCTGTTAAGTAATCTCTAATGTGTCGCTCTCTTGATGTTGTAACTTTACTTTTCGTTTATTGCCATTGGTAAATATAGGTACTGTACAGGCGAAGCTGTTATCGATAACATTTATATAAATCAAGAACAAATCTGATTTGAAAACATCCATGTGGCACTTTACTTCTGGCGCTTATATTATCTAAAGCTTTTCCACACAACCACACTCACTCTTGTGGTAATGAAGTGTGTCCAGCAGCTGGACACCCTCATAAGTGTTGTCCAGCAGCTGGACACCCTCATAAGTATTGTCCAGCAGCTGGACACCCTCATAAGTATTGTCCAGCAGTATCCTCCCCCGCGATAGCAGCCACATAGTAAGGACTGATAGATTAAATGCTCAGCACACAGGTTATCTTGAGGTTATCTTGATGATTTCTATCTTGACACAGTATATCTTTTCACCACCAAAGATCACATTCACTCCAAAAAAATATCACGGGCTATTCATGCTCGTGTCACCTCTTGGGTGGCTTAATCTTCACCAATCAGACAAGCACTTTTGCCGCCAGATTAATGCATGACCATCTATGTTTATATTTGTGTCTGGTGTGAGCGCCGGAGTTATATCCACTCTCACGCCATTCATTCTTTCAGTCTCTCGTAGTTATTTTCCCCAACAGCGGAGATTCTTCCTTGTTTCTGTTTATCTCGCTCGGCCGAGCGGACAGCACGCTGGACTTGTGATCTGTGGTCCTGGGGTCGATCCCAGGCGCCGGCGAGAAACAATGGGCGGAGTTTCTTTCACCCTATTCCCCTGTTACCTAGCAGTAAAATAGGTACCTGGGTTTAGGTCACGGGCTGCTTCCTGGGGGTGGAGGCCTGGTCGAGGACCGGGCCGCGGGGACACTAAAGCCCCAAAATCATCTCAAGATAACCTCAAGTTTGTCACTAGAGTGTCTTCCTGTAATTCTCTGCAGACGTGGGTTTTTGCATTTATCATTAGTTTTGCATTATCTGCAAACATTGATATACAAACAGCTCACACTGGAGCAGGTTATTAGGAACAGCAATAGACCCAGGACTAAGCCTTGGGGGACCCCTAAGCCTTGGAGGCTTGGTCGACGACCGGGCCGCGGGGACGCTAAGCCCCGGAAGCACCTCAAGGGGACCCTACTTGCCACACTCTTATAGTTCTACACCACCTCTCCCTTTGTTTCCTGGTGACTAGGTTAGGTTAGGTTCCTGGCCATCACCTGTATATTCCTTTTACCCAGCTCAGTGTTTTGCTAGTTATCCCCCCAGCGTGTCTCCATCTTCTTTGATGAAAAGTCTCAAATACCTTTTGGTCAGTCTAGGAAGATACAATTGCCAAGCCTTTATCTATAGTATTTTGTGCGACCTTGTCGTGGATGTCTATCAAGTTTGTCAGGCATGAAGCTGTCCTTCCTAAATCATGTTACATCGTTCATCTTCTGGCCCCCGTTATTCTCCTCCCGACTCCACTACAATGGGTCAGAAACTATTTGGCTTTTAATTTGGTGCCTTCTTTCTGTCCCTCTTTTTTTAACGTTGGGACAACGTTTGTGTTTTTTCCTGATTTGTAGTCTCAAGTGATTCATTAGCGCTTTAATTAACGGGTGTGTGTGGGGGGGGGGGAGAGTGTAAGTGTAGGGTGTGACTGTGTAATTGTGTACATGGGTGTACAGAAGTTACGTGGGGTTGAATGTGTAATGTTTATGGTGGGGGTGTCTAGCACGTATGTCTGGTGCGTGGGTCCAGGGGGAGGGGGGTAGGGGGGGGCGGTCTAGTACGTGTGGGCGGGAGTGGGTGAGGGGGAGGGGGGAGGGGGAGTGCCACATGAGTAAGGAGCATGGCACTCGTGAGGCGACGCGTGCCTCCATCACTGAATCACTCTCATTCACAGCTTCTGCTGTCCGTGAGCAGCTTCGACCTTTAGAGCGCGGCCACAAGCATTATGGCACGAATGAGCATACGGGAATGTTGTGTGAGAGATTGGCTATAGTGAGCACAGGGCGCTCAAGGGTACATAGTTGTGTGTGGGGCGGTGTGAGGTGCAGGTCTCGTGCCTTCCTCAGGTTAATCTCGGTTGATGCCGTCACTAGTTCAACGTCACCCCTCCCCGCCGCTCCGTCCCTCCCCGCCTGTCATTCTCCAACACGCTTAATATAAACGCGTTTTTGTGCCTGGTGGGAATCTGCGAGTCTGTTCTTATGGTAATGGAGTTTATTAGCTGGGTTGAGTGGTGTTGGTGGAGCGTTGACTCTTGCACTACAATAGGTGCAAGTGGTGGAGTAATATTATAGTGCGTGTGTGGGGGATGAGGTGGCCAAGTTGACCACACTCCCCACGCCCACCCCACCACCGGAAGTTTGGAATACCTTGCGTTACACGATATCCACCTTGAGAAGCATACCGGTGGCGGCAGCTAGAATGTTCTGTGTGGCACACTGCCAGTCTCACTCACGCTCATTCAATAACACTTGTATTTCTAACCCATCCATTAACTTGTTTTAGATTTATACGTAAATTTATGTCGCTGCTTTTCCTACAGTTTGTTTATACGAGACTAAGTTGCCATCACATACTCTTGATGAAAGACCCGTGATATATTATGACAATGGAAGTGTAAACAATCATATTAGAGCATTTATGGCCGTGAGAAAGGTTGCGGGTGCCAGGTGGTGTGTGTGTGGGGCTGTAATTATAGTGTTACCGCGCGCAGGCTGGCTGCCCTCCGCCACCAGCCTTACTGCAAATATCTGAGTTGCATCTACTAGGAGATTGGCCCTGACTACCAGCTTTGGTGTCAGCAGTGCCAGGTCATGCAGGACGTACGTGGTGCCACGGAGGACACCGCTGCCATGACGGCTGCAGTGCAAACACCAGCCAGGGACCTTCTCGCTCACACCAAATCACCTCTCCAGGAATTAAAGAGCGAGTTCCCTCCGCCTCCCACAATGGCCCAGCCTTCTCCGCCCACCGAAGTGGTCCAGCCTACCTCGCCCGCCGAAGTGGTCCAGTCTACCCCGCCCGTTGAAATGGTCCAGTCTACCCCGCCCGCCGAAATGGTCCAGTCTACCCCGCCCGCCGAAATGGTCCAGTCTACCCCGCCCGCCCAAGTGGTCCAGTCTACCTCGCCCGCCGAAGTAGTCCAGCCCAGCCCACCTCTAATAAGGGAAGAATCGTCACTTTCTCACGACCCATCGATTCTGGAATACAAGAAGCAAGGCAGCCCACCCGCAGCTGTGCCTGAGGGAGGCGTCGTCGTGGCAGGTTCGCAGCCATCCGACCCTCTTCAGGTGCAAGCGGCCGTCCGTCATAATGGAACAGTAAAAGTGTCGCCCAAGAGAGAAACGGATGAATCCCCGCCAGAAAGTGGTTGGGATCCCTCCACCAGATCACCTCCTCCAGAGTCTCATTCGAACCCGGGACCTCCGGCGGGGCAACCTTCACACGATGCACCCACAAGGTCACCATCTCACCACAACCCAAGACCTCCGCCTCATACCACCTTACCTCGGCCCGTTCTCCAAGACCCGCAGATGAGACACCCACATCACCAGGGAAGACCCATGCTCCATGCCCCATCTTTGGGGCCACCAATGCACCCCCCACCCATGGGCCCTCCACCACGTCACTTTGCACGGATGGGACATCGAGCACCCTTTCACGGCCCCATGGTAGTGATGCCCCCTCACCAGGTATCACCAGCACGGCACCCTCAGAGGCCTATGGTATCACCACCACGACCAGAACACTACCGCACCACACTTGCTGGACAAACTTCTCAGGATCCCGGCGACATTACTGTACCACACTACCAGCAGGAGCCACCACCTGGCGAGGGCCCACTTCTCCAGGAAGAAGCACCACCATACCAGGAAGGTGCAGGTTACCAGGGCGAAGGAGCCACCGGTTACCAAGGGGAAGGAGCTACCGGTTACCAGGGCGAAGGAGCCACCGGTTACCAGGGCGAAGGAGCCACCGGTTACCAGGGCGAAGGAGCCACCGGTTACCAAGGGGAAGGAGCTACCGGTTACCAGGGCGAAGGAGCTACCGGTTACCAGGGCGAAGGAGGCATCGGTTACCAGAGCGAAGGAGCTACCGGTTACCAGGGCGAAGGAGCTACCGGTTACCAGGGCGAAGGAGCCACAGGTTACCAGGGCGAAGGAGCCACAGGTTACCAGGCGCGACCCACACGTCGGCAACCTGGTACCCTGCGTATATCCAAGTGGGTTAACCCAATTCCCCCGGACCCTGATGATGGTAAGTAACCCAATGTCTCTTGTGTTTATTACATCTCTTCACCCTCATTTGTGGATCATATACACTTTGGTTTTTGACTTGGAGTAGTCGACCTGCTTCTTTACTCTCTCCACCACTGTTTTTTCTTAACACCCCTACCCCTGATCTTTCTCACCTCCCCCTTCCTTTCTTTCTCACCAACTTGAGAGTGTGAGGCTTGAGAAAAGTTTAGTGTTGGCTGCTTGGTTTACAGGTGATTATTGATGTGGTGGAGGCGACATATCACCCCGGTCGCTGTGTGGCCAGGACGTGGGCCTGAACACTATTTATGTTTCCTATTTATGCCTGCAGGATCAACCTCTAGCTCCTGGACCCCGCCTGGCAAAATATCCGCTGTTTAATATACTCTTTCCCCAACTATTAACCTCTTGTCATATCTACTACATATATTTCTCTCGAATACATGTGTGTGTGTGTGGGGGGGGAGGGTTATGTATATAGTATGTAAACACAGACTCAATGTGGGGTTGTCTAGTTGCAAGTTTATTATGCATATTTTATATTTCAATACGTTGATAATTAGAGATAAGCCACAAAGTGTCACTATGAGGCTTCAGATATGATAGCAGTTTATGATAACGATAATGTCCACACGTCATACTCTTTCTTCCAAAGTGTGAGGCTAGCAGCGCTCTTAATAATAATAATAATAATAATATTTTATTTAGGAAAAGTACACACATAGATGCAGTTACAAACATTCAGAATATTTATAGACAGCTAGTATATACAAATAGCTAAAGCCACTTAAGCCAGCTCAATACCTTAACGTCTGGGCTCTACACTTGCCCTCACAACACGCCTCTACAGTAACCTCACCATAGTGCTCTAAATATGCTCTCGGAGGGCTACTTTATTGGGCCTTGGGCTCTATTTTGTCGTTTAACAGTACAGTATTTACCAATATTTCCCACTTGTGGTGCGATTCACTATTGTGTTTGTGGATAATAAAGACAGTAGAAAGTTGGCGTATATTGCACATTGTTGCATCGACGTCTCGGGCTGCAATGATCTATGTTGGTTGTTTTAAGAGCCAATGATGTATTGGTTATCTCACTCGGCACAAACGCTTCTCACAGCCTCCACCTTCTCCTCACTAAAATGTCACTTCTAAAATATTGGTGGAAAATCCATTCTCGATTTTTCATAACGTTTTATTGGTGGTTAAACCTTTGAATGTTGGTGGAGGTCCGTGATACATGTTGTCCCAAGAGCGGCAGTGTGCGTACCACTCAGCGGTGCTCGCGCGACTGACAGCCCGCCAGAGTGAGACCCTCCACCACCACCCGCACCACCATTTCCTCCACCCACACCACCTCCACCACCCGCACCACCACCATCTCCTCCACCCACACCTCCACTACCACCATCTCCTCCACCCACACCTCCACTACCACCATCTCCTCCACCCACACCTCCACTACCACCATCTCCTCCACCCACACCGCATCCACCACCACCAAAAGCTTTACAAATGCCCACCGATAGCGGCAGCGCCTCCTCCGTCTGAAGGTTGGCTCTCTCACAATTCCTTCTAGCACACGGGCAGATTCACACCACGTATAGTGTTTGTTAGAGTGACAGAGTGCTCGCACTCCAGAGTAGGACCTGTGATAACCAGGAGGCAAGACCTGGCTCATCTTGTCATTCTAGCTTCATAAGACGAGTCTTATAACGTAACTTTGACCACGGGGCCGACAAGCCGGCCTACAAGCCGGCTGGCCTTGACAGCAATGCTGCCACTTGTTCCAGCATTAGGGCAGCTGCTTGGACCTTAGATATACCTCAAATTATATTTAAATATACGTCCAATTTTAGATATTTCCAATTATAGATGTACGTCCAATTTTAGATGTACGTCCAATTTTAGGTGTACGTCCAATTTTAGGTGTACGTCCAATTTTAGATGTACGTCCAATTTTAGATGTACGTCCAATTTTAGATGTACGTCCAATTATAGATGTACGTCCAATTATAGATGTACGTCCAATTATAGATGTACGTCCAATTATAGATATACGTCCAATTATAGATATACGTCCAATTATAGATATACGTCCAATTATAGATATACGTCCAATTATAGATATACGTCCAATTATAGATGTACGTCCAATTATAGATGTACGTCCAATTATAGAAGTACGTCTAATTTTAGAAGTACGTCTAATTTTAGAAGTACGTTCAATTATAGTTAGATAAACGTCCAATTCTAGATATACGTCGAATTATAGATATAGATTATATATACGCCCAATTATAGTTAGAAATACGTCCAACTATAGTTAGATATACATCCAATTATAGTTATATATACGTCCAATTATAGTCATATATACGTCCAATTATAGTCAGATATACGTCCAATTATAGATATACGTCCAATTATAGTCAGATATACGTCCAATTATAGTCAGATACACGTCCAATTATAGTTAAACGTCCAGTTATAGTTAGATATACTTTACATAAAAGTCCAGTTATAGTTAGATATACGTTAGATAAAAGTGCAGTTATAGTTAGATATACGTTAGACAAAAGTGCAGTTATAGTTAGATATACTTTAGATAAAAGTCCAGTTATAGTTAGATATACGTTAGACAAAAGTGCAGTTATAGTTAGATATACTTTAGATAAAAGTCCAGTTATAGTTAGATATACGTTAGACAAAAGTGCAGTTATAGTTAGATATACTTTAGATAAAAGTCCAGTTATAGTTAGATATACGTTAGACAAAAGTGCAGTTATAGTTAGATATACTTTAGATAAAAGTCCAGTTATAGTTAGATATACGTTAGACAAAAGTGCAGTTATAGTTAGATATACTTTAGATAAAAGTGCAGTTATAGTTAGATATACTTTAGATAAAAGTCCAGTTATAGTTAGATATACGTTAGATAAAAGTGCAGTTATAGTTAGATATACCAGTTGAGGGCCGGGACACGCACAGTCCCTGCACAATGGCTGAGAACCCTGAATGTATTCTGTCCCTGACTGACCTGAGTGGCAAACAAGCGGTGTATATACTTGTCAGGTCAAACTACCCTTGCAACAATGCCTATGGAAATGTTGTTTCCAATACAAATGATGAAATCCCAGTTTTCATAAGATTTCACCGTAATTTTGTTAACTTTGCGAATATTGTAATGCAGTTACAGGTCAATATAACATTACGCGGTTTTAAGTTTAAGTTGCGCGGGACTTTTAAGTTGCGCGGGACTTTTAAGTTGCGCGGGACTTTTAAGTTGCGCGGGACTTTTAAGTTGCGCGGGACTTTTAAGTTGCGCGGGACTTTTAAATTGCGCGGGACTTTTAAATTGCGCGGGAATTTTAAATTGCGCGGGAATTTTAAATTGCGCGGGATTTTACATTACGCGGGAAACATTCACACTGGCGTCAAACGTCCCAATATACAATAAACATGTTTTTGTATTTAATCAATACTGTATCTGACTCTTTATAAAATGCAAAATGTTGATAAATGATGTATTTAATCGGAATATAATTTTGAGCCACATATATATCGCGCATTAAAACATTATTAGCACTGAACTGAAAACTTGAACGGTCTCACTTCTAGTGCCGCCGCCAGGGGGAAATAATCGAGCCATTAAACCCATGTTCGACATTAACGTTGGAAAGGTTGATTAAGGTTGGGTGTTGGTGGTGGTCCCGGAGCCGGAAGCGTGACTGTACTTGCTGTGTCACGTTGTGGCTCAGACAGGCGTCACCTGCTGTGTCTCCGATCACTTGTTCCAATATTTTAATCCGGGTTTTCCCTGTCGCCTCCACACTCCTCTGGAAAACCCTTGGCTTTTTGCTCTCTGGGCAAAACCCCTCTGTATTAATTGGCTTTATTTCTCGATAATAGTGTTGTTTGTTCAGCCTAACTGGCCAAGGGTGTATTATATATATATATATATATATATATATATATATATATATATATATATATATATATATATATATATATATATATATATATCTGGATTCTGACCAGGACTCCTGGTTGATGGTCTGGTTTGGTGAGGTAATAAATAATTTCTTTATTTCTGTGGTCTTTCCTCACAGTTCCCTTCCTCGTGTGTCTCACTACAGGTGAAAATGTGTAGTGTTAATGAATGATAAACAAAGGAAAGACAGCTGTCATTCCAGTACGGTTGTCTGCTGAAGATGAGCTGCTGTGTGGTCACTTAGTGCAGACCCGAGGGTGTGGTTGAGTGGAGGCCAGACCCGAGGGTGTGGTAGGGTGGAGCCCAGACCCGAGGGTGTGGTGGGGTGGAGCCCAGACCCGAGGGTGTGGTGGGTGGAGGTTGCACCTGTGTGGCCACAAGTGTGGCAAGGACGAGGGGCTGCTGCTCGTGGCAGGTCTAGGGGGGGGGGTGTATGTATATCCAAACCTGAATGGCCACGACCTATTGCATATAAATATATCACCGCTAATGGCATGAAAATGAGTCCATTAAGAAAAGTTTTAGGTGTGTGCGCTGGGAGCCACGTTCTCAGTGGTGCCACTAGTATAGAAAATGGTGGTGGTGGCCGGGGCACTATGTGCTCTGGGTCTGCCCCCCTCTCTCCCCCCCACCACCACCACCACCACCACCAAGTTTCCAAATAGGACAGGTTTGGAACCAGTCCTATTTTCCAGGAGTACATTATAAGTTTTAAATTTTGCCCCGAGGGGCGAGTTTATTGGGCAGCGCCACTCATCTTGTGAGTGGACACACCGCCATAGCAGCATGTACAACACTCCCCAATAGGAAGAAAACCCGCTGGGTTATAAGTATCTTTCAAGCATTTGCTCCAAAAAGTTAAATTTGATGGAATTCAAGTGTTGTTGTTGTTTAAGATTCGCTACGTGGAACAATAAGTTGCAAGCAGCACGGGCTATGGTGAGCCCGTAGAAGTGTTCTCATTAATATAGATGTTTTATTGAATTCGGTCAGTAAAGTTCTGTGCAG